ATAACCAACACTAAAAATGCAGAAACTGGAACAAGGTAGTAAGATGGGCCTGTCTTTAAACGCATAAGCATCAAGAAACATAAGCACTAACATTACTGGTGCTTCAGGTACGGACCTGCTTCCAGTCAACACTGGAACTGGCTAATCTGCAGTACATTTGACTGGCTTATTTGCAGTACAATTGACAATGTGTACAGCTAATTCTTATTTTAATCATCATCTCTCTTTCTAGATATGTAATAAAGAAAATTCTTTCATTTGTCTGCCCTAGTTTTGGCCAGGTTAATGTAGCTGTATTTTGGATTCAGGATGAGAGGTACAATGCTGTATTTTGGACTTGGGATTAGAATCATGTTGATAACACTTGGGTGATTAGGCTGTTAAGCAGTGCTTACCCCAAGCCCAGGACTTTTCTGTGTCTCATGCTCTGCTAGAGACAAGCCACACAAAAAGCTGAGAGGGAATATGGCCAGGGCAGGTGGCATGAACTTGCCAAAGCAACATTCCACACCACAGAACATCATGTACAGTATATAAATTGTGGGAGCTACCCAGAAGTGGAGGATGATATCTCTTCAGAGATARGCTAGGTATTAGTCAGCAGGTGGTAGCACTTGAATTGCACATCACTTGTCTGTTTTGAGTTTTATTTCACTCTTTCTCTTATCATTATTAGTATTATATTTTGCTTTCTTTCAATTAGTACACTACTTTTATCTCAACCCACAAGTTGTACGTTTTTTTCCTAACTCACTCCCCATTCCAGTGGGGCAGGGGRAAAAGGTAAGGGAATGACTGACTGGCTGCATGGTACTTAGTTGGCAACTGGGGTTAAACCACAGAATAAACTGCTGATACGAGTTTCTTAAATCAACCACCATACTAAATAACAACCTCAGTATTAGCTGAATCAGTGGAATACTGATTCCACCTAAGTATTAAAAATCAATACCTGTAATAATCAAATGTCTATATAGAACAGCTTAGCAAAGAGATGGTCTTCATTTCTGCTGGCCAACAGGAACCTGGAAGAATACAGTAACTATAGCAGCAGAAACAACTAAAATTAGCCTGATAAAGTCTTACACGGTTCATCTTTCCTCTTTGGATGTACACTCAACAGAATACAAACTTCAATACCAGAGAGGTTCCATCCAGATGGAGGTCTTCTTCAGGACAGGGTAACAGGAATAAAAGCAGTTACATGAAGAACTTCACTAGACCACAGAGCAGACCACCAGCCTCACCRGCAGTATCATTATTAACTCACAGCACAGATTGCTCAGAAAACAGGTTGAGAGGCTTTCACCAGTCAGTTCAAACACAAGGTGATTCAGGGTGCAGATACACGATCTGCTGAAGTCAGTATCACATACTCCCAAGCACTTCTCATACTTCTGGATTCTTCACACCTACACTCCAGTCCTCTATCATTTCTTATAGACCCATAGAAGGACTTGGATTTTGAGAGATCTTGTTATCTACTCCAATGACCCACATGGACAACACCATCTTTCACAACACCAGTTTGCCCAAAACACTTGACTGGCCTTCCACTTCCAGGGATAGGGCACCCACAGCTTCCTTTTACAACCTGCTCTCATGTCTCAGAATCCTCATTGTAAAAAAAATTCTTTCTTGTGTCCAATCTAAACTTGCCATTGTTCGGTTTAAAGCTGTTGCCTTGGGTCCTATCACTTACTCCTCATGATGGCACTCATGCCAGTGAGCAAGCTGATGCAATGAGAAAGAAGCATTTCATATCTCGTTTTGTATCAGCAGGATCAGCTTCCTTACCTGGMTCACTATGCAGCAAGCTGATTTTTCGCACAGCCTGGAGAGATGGGGCAGGAAGAAGAGGAGTGCTCCCCCTTCCAGCAACAGAGATCTAATGTGATCAGGCTGTGAAATTGCACCSTGGGCCCTTTTTTTTAACAGAGTGGGTCTGCGGTTGGAGGTAAATAACTTTTGGTCCCAGTCTAATTCAAAGGAGCAGTCAGCCATAAGCCAAAAATCATTACCAAAACTAGTGTACTAATAAGTAGCCCATGATGAGTTGAGCAGACAGGCAAGGATGATATAAATAAGTGAACATTATCTTTTCACCTTCCAATAAAACTCAGTCACATTACAACAACAGAGTCAGGAATGCTGTGAGCAGTTAAACATTAAGTTCTCAAAGTCCACACAACACATAAAACAATGGAAAAACAACYATGAAAAATAACAAATTTAAACTCATTAAACTGTATACTGGGAATTCCACTCAGTACAAATCTATGAAACTGATCTACAAGCTAAGTAGATACACGTACAATGACACTTACWAAGGAAAAAACGTCCTTGTAAGGCACCAAACAAATTCATAGAGCAGTATTAAATTTTGTARGAGGATGTTTTCATGTCCATAGCTGGCCAATTTGTTTCAGTAAGCGTGTAGAAAAAAATTTTAGAAGATATCTATTCATTCTTTGTATGTATGCTTTACTTCAAAGAATTCCAGTAATCTATTGTAAATCTAAAATACTCCTCAGTCATGACAGCACATTGTTCCCCAAATGAACAGTGGAGAGTTGTATTCAGAACTTTTTCTACAGAGCCTGGAATGGGCAAAACCTCCAGAGTCAGCGCTGAGTCTTCAAGGGAAAAAAAATAAGGTTGTGAACTTAAAAGAAGAGATTCTAAAAGATACATCCCCACTGAGTAATTATAAGGAGAAGTTATCCCAAACATTTGCTAACTAGTACATGAAAGACAATTCAGTAAAGACCACGGTCAAGTCAACTTGCAGATTTAAATATAGTCATAATTGGCTACAATCACTGAAAAGGTAATCTGAAGAGGACAGACAAAATCCAGGCACTGGTGAGAAAACTCCAATAATTAAAAGTATTTCACTAAGGCAGAGAGCAGTCTGAGYGTGCGCTAGGCATCTGAAATGATGATGCCCTTATCTGCCTCCAGCTGCTCAGTACCATCAGCCTGCTGGAAGTTTTCATCTTATTCCTACGGCCACCCGCATGTGCTAACCTGCTGCAGACAAAAGGAGTCAGGTCCGCTCAAACAAAATAAATATTACATCTGTCTTAACCCACCACGTTCTGAGCGAGGTGGGCTGACGAGCACCTACTAACACCAGCGGTGGCAGGCACATCAGGCTTCCAGCTGACAGGCAGGCAGTAAATACTGGCAGCGACTTCAACAAYAGAAACACCTATCACCCGGGGCTTCTGTCTGGAGCTACCCTGTGAGGACCAACTCTCATCAGCAAAGTATCTTTTTTTTTTTTTTTAAGGAAAATGAAATCGTATCTGAAATACTCAGAACACCAGATCTCCTCAATCCCAAAACCAGAGGAGCATATGAAGACACGCTTTCTGCATTTTCACATTGATGGCACTCTGTGACACTCCCCAAGCTGCTGAGTATCTTAAATCGTAAAAACTTAAGCTTTCGCTATACAAGAGCTTTTTTACTTTTTCCTACATAGTTAAAAATTACCTGATTTTAACAACCTGCAGGCATTCTTTAACCAAGATGCTATCATAAGGCTGCTTTTGCTCTCTTTAGCAGAACATGTTGCCACCCTCTTTCACTCCCAGCCTCATTGAGGATTCCAAGGAAATACTGAAAGGACACYACTTTTTTGCTCTATTACTGGTGTTTACGCTTCTTTGAAGACAAATATTATTAACACCCCACTCTTCAGTGTCACCAAATCAGTGTTCTATTATGATCAAAGGTATGCAGTTAGTTTTGTAATTGCTGTTGCTTTTGTATCATTTCTGATGACAGTATACCCTGACCAACATCTGTGACCTTCTCATTCAAACTTAATACTTCAGACAAACACCTCACGCAGAAACAATGTGAAGTGGAAGATAYATTTTGTGAAAACTTGACAAGCTGGGTTAGCTCATCTCATGTAACTCCACCGTAAGAAGTTAGGTATCAGGAAGGAAAGTGACTCGTTCTCTCTCAAAAGCTTCAGTATTTATCTTTGAAAGAAATAAGAAGGCAACAGTACTTCAAAATACCTAGAGAGTGATTCTTGGAAACGCAGATCCCCAACATCTCCTGTTTTAGAATCACAAATTTTGAGTTTTCTCACTGCTAAGCCAATCTCAAGTAACAGCAACAGTTTAAACTGGAAAATTATTTCTCCACATTTGGGTAACTCAGAAATGGCAAATATTTCATGAAGCTTTCTAAGCTGCCAGAACCATAAGAAACTTAAGCCTAAAAAGAAGYTTTCAATCCCATCTAATTAGAAGATTTGGAGTGAAAATTACCACTCAAGCCCAGCTGTAGTATAAAGTCAGAAGAGTCACGCTCAAATTACTTTTTGTCTTTTACGACTGTACAGGAAGCTTGCATTAGGAAGCAGAGAAAACTGAGAAGTCTTCTTTTGCAAAAGCAGCTGACAGCACCAAAAACCGCAGAAATGACTGTGAAGATACACTCCAAAAAACAAAAGCCTTCGATTACGTAGAAAATTGAAAATTACAGCTGCCATCCTGTTTCTAGTTCATGTGACACCCGTGACATCGGGAAGCATTTGCGAAGGTGCCAACACGTGGAGCGGCAGCAGGCACAGCGCAGTGCTGGGCACGGCATGGGGAGCCGGTCCTGGGCGATGACACCGTGGCCATTYCCCCGCACCCACACTGACACGAGCACCCCAGTACTTCTATACCCGCTCCCGCAGCCCACATAGGCAGCGCGGAGAGCGCGGGGACCCTGCCACAGGCTGCCGCCGCCGCCCGTCCGCTCCCGCCACCGCTCTGGGCCTGACATCAAGCACACGGGACGTCTGCGGGCCCGCAGTCTTCGTTCCGGTGCAGGGCTGCGAGAGGCGCCCGGGCGCTGCCACCCCGACTCGCCCGCTACGGTACGGGTGGCGCGGGGCCGGTCGCCCCCGCCGTGCCTCAGGGCCCGAGGCTGCCGCTCCCCCGCGCCCCTCGCCGGCGGCGCTGCCCGAGCCGGGCCGCCGCACGTACCTGGCGCTGGCGCTGTCGCCGGCGGAGCGAGGCGCGCGCAGCGCCGTCACGGGGAGCGCGCGGCCGCTCCCGGCCTAGTGTCGCGCGCGGTTCCGCCCGCCCCCTGCCTGCACCACTTCCGGGGTCCGCGCGCGGTGACGTCAGCGCCCGGGGGCGCGGCGGGGAACCCGGAAGTGGAGCGCGCCGGGCGAAGGCTGCGGCTCCTGGTGCCCTCCGCCCTCGGGCCACACGATTGAGAGCCGGGGGGGAGATGGGCGCTGCGCGGCTCGGAGTCGGCGGTCTGAGGGCAGGCGAGGCCTGTCAGGGTGCTGCCCTGGGGGTTAACACCGGGGCCTATCCCCGGGGAAGTGGTTTTTGAGGAACTCTATTGGAATAAAGTCAGGAGGGAAGCGACGGTCTCCGAGCAACGCTGACAGGGACCAGGCGAGTACCCGCATCTAGATCTGGGCCTGTTGCTCGAGTGCTGGCAGATCTCACGAGTAGGGTCGTGTTTCCACTCCCAGGTTTCCATTTTGATCACTTAGGAGCTGTAAAAAGAAAAGACGATAACATTTTTCATGTTTAATGTTTCAGGCATCTTCATAAATACATGGGAATTGCTTTGCATTGGCCTACGGTAAAATACCGACGGCCATAAGCAGTCCCAGCATCTTTGTTCTTGCATAGCAAGAAGCACCTTGAGTTTCACTTGAAGGATRTAGTATCTTCCTCGCTTGGAAAGCTCTCCAGATTTGGTTAGATGGCTGCTGACAACCTGCATCAATGCATGGTTCTGCCTACACAGGATGGCTGTGAGGTATTCCCGTGCCAAGGACATCTGAAAAATGCCTCATACCATGTGTGCAATTTGAATGTTTCACCCCTTCCTATATCCTCGTCATGACKGATGGTGCAACCCAGTAAACTAGAGCCTCAGAACGGTCTGTGGGAGAAGCATTTTTCATCCAAAAAGCACAAAAGCAGCAGCCTTGTGTGTTTGCTCTCAATGGAATAGTTCGGGTAGGAAGGAACTTATAAAGGCCATCTAGTCCAAGGCCCCATGCAATGAGCGGGGACACTTTCAAATTGATGAGGTTGCTCAGAGCCCTATCTAGCCTGACTTGGATTGTTTCCAGGGATGGGAAATCTACAGCCTCTCTTGACAACCTGTTTTCTGCAATACCTAAGGAAGGAATAAGTGAAATACTTTCCTTCTTCAGTGCAGAAGGTATTATAATGTCTTGGAGACCTAGTCTGTTTACATTTTAAAATCTATGTTTGAGCTTCTTGTATTGAGACTATTTTCCCTGCTGTCTTGGTTTGAAAGACAGGTATCTGCCAAGGACGGCAGGAACCTCCCTTGGAATAGTGAATATGACTCCCTTCCCTCCAAATTATTATAACTTTGAAATCAAAGGGGTCTTGCAGGCAAAGAGGGAAAAGGAATATCAGTTCTTTACTTGTATATATAACAAGGCAAACAAAGGACAACAATGATAGCAACAACCACCAAAAGCAGAAGCGCAGCGCAGCCCCCTCCGGGCTGTCCCCTGCCCTCCCCTGTGCTGCAGTTCCGCTCACGGCCGGCAGGGGCGCTGGGGGCTCCCGGCCGGGCGGGGCGGGGCGGTGATTCCTCCGCGCCGGCAGGGGGCGCTGTGCCGCGGGTTCGCTCTCCTTCCTTGGTGACGATGGCGGGCACCGCTGGCGGGAGAAAGATGGAAGARGGKKTTTCTTTACAGCTTCACWGGGGMAGCCGACGGCGGCGTACCTCCGGCTGGCGAGATGGGCTGCAGCAGGGGATCCTCGGGCAGTGGCACGGGATGGCAGGGGCTGGCTCACCCCGGGAGTGATAAACAAAAGGCTGCAGAGACTCAGGGGCTGTGCTGAAACTTCAGGGAATCCGAGTACCTGGTAACAGTACAGCAAAAGCCCTGAAACAGCGGCAGAGAACAGCGGAGGCTGAGCAGAAGCCCCTCGCAAAACCGAATCCTCCAACGTGAGAGGGAGACGACCACCTCTCTCTTTCCCCCAACTCTCACAGGAAGTCTCGGGCTGGCTGTCAACTATCGCCAACTATTTCTGGAGGCGGCAATGGGGAGCAGCAACCATCCCCAAAAAGAAGCATAACCGAAACGACCGTCCCAAAACAAAAACGAAAACAAACCAAAAAACCCCACAAAGATGGGATGGTATAAAAAGACATCTCCAAGACACTTGTATTTCCCGTCTTAGAAAAAAGTGGTGCTTAGATGTGGGTCTTCTGGTGGCACATTCAGGATAGTGTATTGAGTAAACAATCCTGTCCTATCATTTGAAGTTCATGCCTTCTCTGTTCACAAGTACCGCTAAGCTGCAAAGTGAACCAGGTTAGTGCTGACTCGTGAAAATTAGTCAGTGCTTTTTATTGGGCTCTTAATCTGATTCACCATCATTCTCCATCTCTTGCAGTACCCACAAAAAAAAAAAAAAAAAAAAAAAAAAAAAAAAAAAAAAAAGCCCAAATCACAAACAATAACAAAAATAAACCAGTAGAATATAGGCGTCCAGCTCAAGTTCCAGGGACAATTTGTGTGAGTCGAACAGCTGAAACTGTACTGTGTTTCTGATCATGATACAGCCTTTTGTAATTACAGGTCCAAGGAGGGATTCAAGGAGGGAAAGTTTACCAGATCGAGTTGCAAGGATGCTGTGGGCTTGGAAATACTTGACCCAGAAAGAAATGTTGACCACAAATTTGTATCTCTTCATGTTACAAAGAGGTGGTAGTTCAAAAGGACAGGTGTCAAGGCTCACTATAAGACTGACTCCAAAAGTAGAAAATATTAGCAGTTAAGAGGAACCAGGCAATGTGTAGTTAATAGGCTTTTGCTGGAAGCTGGGCTTTTATCTACAGTTTTCATATAGAACTGTGGAGTTCTGGTATCTTCATAGATGTCTGTGAGCTACRATAATACCAGTAATAGGCTAATACTAGCAAAAACACCTCATGTTTGTTGAATGGCGAGATTGGACAGAGCTTTGAGCAGTCTAGTCTAGTGCAAGGTTCCCTACCCATGGCAGAGGGGTTGAAGCAGAATCATCTTTAAGGTCCCTTCCAGCCCAAACCATGTTACRAGTCTCTGATTCTATGAATATCCAGTAAGGTTCTTGATTTCACTTTTTAGAAACACGAAGTGTGAATAGTTATGTCTGAAGTAGATGGAACCTTTGCCTTCACAAAATGCTGTATAATATCAAATGTGTTAAATGTCAGGTCTTTATCATTTTCACAGAATCGAAGGTTAGAAAAGACCTTGGAGATCATCAAGTCCAACCTATGACCTAACACCACCTTATCAACTAAATCATGGCACTGAGTGTCACTTCCAGTCTTTTTTTAAACACCAGGGCTGTGACTCTACCACCTCCCTGAGCAGCCCATTCCAATGCACAACTAACTCCTTCTGTAAAGAATTTATTTCTAATGTCCAGCCTAAACTTTCTGGCACAGTTTAGGCCGTGTCCCCTTATCCTGTTACTGCTTGCCTGGAAGAAGAGACCGACCTGCACCTGACYATGTCCTCCTTTCATCATTGTAGAGAGTGATAAGGTCTCCACTGAGCCTCTTTTTTTCCGGGCTGAACATCCCCAGCTCCCTCTGCCACTCCATAAAAGACTCGTGCTCCAGACCCCTCACCAGCCTTGCTGCCCTTCTCTGGACACATTTGAGCACCTCAACATCCCTCCTAAACTGAATGGCCCAGAACTGGGCCCAGCAYTCAAGGTGTGGCCTCACCAGTKCTGAGTACAGGGGAAGAATGRCTTCCCTGGTCCTGCTGGCTGCACTGTTGCTGATCCRGGCCATTAGTCTTCTTGGCCCCCTGGGCACACTGCTGGCCCTTGTTCAGTCTGCCAGCAGTCAGTACCCCCAGATCCCTTTCTGCCTGGCCACTCATATCTCTGCAGCCACTCCATCCCCAGCCTGCAGCACTGCAAGGGGTTGTTGTGGCCAAAATGCAGGACCTGGCATTTGTTCTTGTTAAAYCTCCTATCASTGGATTTGGCCCAACTACCCAACCTGTCCAGGGCCTYCCCAGAGCCTCCTACCCTCCAGCAGRTCAGCTTGCTCCCAGCGTGGTATCCTCTTCCAATTTGCTGATGGTGGACTCAATCCCCTCATCCAGATCATCAATAAAGGTATTAAACAGGACTGGGCCCAACACTGATTTCTGGGAGACATCACCAAGACTGGCCACCCCCTGGATGCAGCACCATTCACTACCAGTCTCTAGGTCCACCCAATCCTTAACCCACAGAAGGGTGCATCTATGAGTTGTACATCCAAGATTGTTAAAACTGTTTTCCCTTCATTTCAGTTCCCTTCATTTCAAAAACATAATTTACTTATGTGGATTAAATGAAGGTAAGTTTGAAACACTCAGATGCATTAGAAATTTGTTTCATAAAACATYCTCAAAAAGAAGACTTTACACAGGTTGGGTAAATAGAGCTGCATTTCAAAAAACATAAAGAATGTGGTTTGATACAATAGCCCCGTACAAAAAGTGTAAGTGGCCACGTAATTAAAACCATCTCGGATTGCATTTAGTTAATAATGGTCAATGTGTCTAGTCTGTAGGAGGGTGCAGACCTAGTTAAAAATGATGAGTGAGTGGATTCGACATTTGTTACATTGCCCTTCATATCTAGATGGCCTCCGAGATTTTAAAAGAAATGTTGAGAATATGAGATGGCTCAAACTGCATAACACATCTTTTGTAGAAATTCTTTCCCAATAAGCTGGCTTGAACCAATTTCTGTCCGGTTGTTCTGACTCCCCTTGGAATGACCAGTTTCTCCATACTGAGCACATATGAATAGAAAGTGTGATGGCGTGGGTTTGGCTGGGATAAATTTTCATCTTAGCCAGTGCAGTGCTACGTTTTGCTTGTAGTATGAGAATATGGATGACACACTGATTTTTCAGTTATTGCTTATGCTTACCCTGTGTCCAAGACTTTGCAATTTCTCATGCTCTGCCAGCAAGGAAGTGCCCAAGATGTCATGAAGGGCCATGGCAAGGACATACTTTTCTAATACAAACTAGACATCTCTCTGCCTGGACTTGTTCCCTAATGTTGTTAACAT